TGAGTTAATGGTTCTTTGAGTTGTGACAACAAGTATTACCCGCCCAATTATGTCTTTGATTGTTAAAATCTTCATGTTTTGAAAGTTGATGTTGCAATGTAAGAATATTAGTGATGAGGATTAATAACTACAAAACAAAATGTGTTTGACTAATTTTTTACCCAATTATTTTGATGGGATTCGGATAAAAATATTACATTTGATTGGATAGAGTAGATCAAAAAAAAAATTATTTCGTAAAGTATCAGGTAGAAAATAAAAAATTATAGTTCATATCCCTAGGATAAAGTGAACACCTATAATGATTTTTTTTTCTTTTTATGTTTTCACTGTTGTCTTTCTGGTCTCACAGACCTAATTGACTTTGATTAACTGCCGCCTTTTCGAATCGCAGAGTACATAATTGCTTTCTTCCGTCCAATGCGAAGGCTGTAACAGTCCCAAAATTTGAAAAGACATGTCGACCGGCTTTGGCTTTTCCTTCACTGATTCAATGAATGTCACTTGGCGAACCCTTCTACCTAATTCATTTTATGGATAAAAGTCATTCATTATTTATTCACCAAAATTATAGAATATGATCCGAAAATAAATGTTTTTATCCGTGAGGGATCAATTCTCTTTGACAGGACTTTGGGAGTGCATTTAGAAAAATAAAAGTCATACAAGAATATTTCAAAAAAGACAAGATTTTGTGGGCTCAAACTTTTGCATTTTGAGAATTACTTTATAGATTTTATTAAGAGAATCGTGAAAATTTAGGGGAGTGGTATTGCCTCATCCGCTAGCCAGATCCATTTATGTTGCAAAATTGGCGAAGTAGTGCCTAAGTCAAAGCTAGAAAAAGTTTAGATACCACGGTTAGGGTTGGGCCGCGAACCCTACCATGTTCTTCTAAATCTGTGCGTTTATGTGTGTGTGTGTGAGAGAGAGGGGGGGTCAAAGTCGGGGAAAGTCACGTATGAATGAAATCCTTTTCAACACCAAATGATCATGAAAAACAACCATACATTTGACTGTAGGCTTGGCCACAAAAAGCATTTCCTTTGTTACAAACAAGTTGCTTATTTAGCCGGGGGCGAATCCACAGTGGGTGGGGGCAAATTGAGCATTACTGAAACAGACATTTTATCTCCTAACATTTTTGGTTCCCTTCTTTTAAAAATCACCTTTTAAATTAAGTGGGATAAATTAAGCGAATCATCAATCTGTTATGCCGGGCGTATCTTTGATCCGTTGAACAAGAGCCCTTCCACATGGGACTTCCAAATTACTATGGCCGACTTTCATCTTTGTTCAATTAATCGATCTCATGGCTCCGGATTTTAGTTCAGAAATAAGACCCTCAAGAAAAGGGTTCTTCAATCTTCAATAATTACGTCTCTCAAAACCCACCATAGGTAACAGAAATTGTGAACTACGTATTCTCTCTTTCTTTTTTTTTTCCCTCTTTTTTTTAATATGGCTGAGATTTATAACCATAAGCAATTATTTGTGGAAACTAGTACAGACACTTGGAATCCAGGACCTTGAAATTAATATCCGCAGTAATGGGAATCCATTATCAAGCACACTTGCGGAAAATAATGAGTCATATAAAGTGGATAAAAATAAGATCGAATTACAAAAACATATCATAAGTTTAACCAAAAAAATAGGGTAATTGACCAAAAGGACATTAGTATTATTCATACAACAATATGGGGACATTACACTTTGATCCCAGTGACTCTGCCTTTTGTCTAATGCTTCGTTTTGGTATGATAAAAAGTTATAGGAATAGATAAAACATCACATTTGGTAAAGAAGAAAATAGGAAGGATGGAAAAATGGATCAATTAATTTTCCTTCCAAATTATCAAAATCGATCCCTCTAAAATTAGAAAGAAAAGTGGATGAAAAATTAATTATGTGTGTTAAAATATATATTATTTGTCTATATATTATATTTATCAATTACATATTATGTATAAATTAATTTCATATATAAATATAATCCTTAAAATGTATTTATATTTTTTAATAACAATTAAATAAAAATTTAAATACTTAAAAAATTAAATAATAAATTTAAAAATCCAATTCAGCGCGAGAATTTTTTGGCTCCAAACCTAACAGCATTCAATTTTGGCCCATTATGAAACCAATTTAAGTAATTAAGGATTAATGTTAGTAATTCAATAGTAGGGGTGAGTAAGATGTGATCGAGCCTACAGTCTAAAAGCTACAAAATATAATTTGCTTTAATAAAAAGAATCCTTTTAACTCTCACCCATTTAAAAAGAGTATGAGAACCTCTCCCACTTGTACAATTTTTTATTTTTATTTTTTATTTTGTTCATGAAGCCTCTTACAACATATCAACAAGAAAGTAGAACATGAAGAATGCAACTTGACCAGTTTACTATAAAACCATGATTAAGCATGTAAAGTGATCACTCTGTGTTCTGGTTGCTTGTAAAAGAGAGGTTCCCACAAAGGAAAGAATTTTAATCTTTGCTTTACCAAGATCATGAAGCATTAGAAATGCATATAATATTTGGTAAAGCTGAGTCGAATAAAAGTGCTTCTAATAAAATATTGGAAAAGAAGCATCTTCAAATGAGAGGAATGCATATTAATTACAGTAAAGTAACCCAAAAAAGCAGCATAATTTTTCCACTCTGAACATGTTTACATGCACAAGATCAGTAGCATTTCAGAAGCCTGTTATGGTTTATTCAAGATCTTTTAAGCTTAATTCAAGTTTTAAAGTAATTTCAATGCTTTTTTTTTTTATAAAAAAGCGAAAACTAAAGGCTATAACTTCTCTGGAATAAGTGGTAACAATATCTCAGCTAGTGTTTTTGTCTTTTTCCCTGTTTTCAGGCTTACTGATGTTAGAAATCGATCTAGACTACATGCCAATAAGTAAGCTTCATTAAAGTTGGTACCTTCGATCATGGAATAAGAAAACCCTTGGGTAAAATGCTGGACTAAATATCACATAAACATTATAAATAAAACACTTTCTTGTTGTAAAATATAGAGAGAAATCTTAGAGAAGAAAATATGAAGAGACTTAAATTGTATTTTTCTATTCACTTTGGCTCATTTCTCTCTTGTCAAAATCAAATACTTACATAGGTATTTATAGGATTCTAGAGTACATGCATATCACCAATACATGCATATTACCAATACATGTACTATCCAAATACATGAATCTAGAATACTCCAAAACATTGAATAAAGTTTCATTCTCAACATTCCTATCATGCAAGTAGATATATTCTGCATGTCATAAGTATAATTAAGCCACAGTATGATCCTTCAATGGTCTTAAAAGGTGCACCTAAAATTTGATTCTTCCTTTATGTCTGACTACATAATAGACCAACTTCTGAATAGTAAATACATGACTGTGTACAGGATGCACTGCCTTTCAAATTTTGAAAAAAATCTACGAAAAAGTCTAAAAAGTTCGAGAATATTCATATCTCATAACAGCATAATTCTTAGAAATTTTCGAATATCCGTGCCATTCCGAACGGTCCCTAGTAGAGTCTCTTTCTGTTTCCACCGAGCTGCAATTGTAAAGCTTACGAAAAGAGAAAGATGAATGAAAGCAACCAATTACCAAACAATAGCTTTAGTTAGGCCATATAGACACCACTTACTACCTTTTGATACTGCCATGGAAAAAATGGGAAGAAAAAAAGTACTTTTGCTGGTCCCTCACGGTCCAAGCATTTTCAATTCTTTTAACAAAGAATTTTCTTCGTTCTTTTTGTTATACAAAAAATGTGTATATAATTAGATTATATTACATTGTGTAGAATATAACTTATACACTAATTTAAACAGAATGTATAAAAATCAAAACTAGTGCACTTACATTGACGCAAAACAACACGAATAGTAAAATCCAAAAAATCAAAAATCCAATAATAAAAATAATAATTTGAGTTTTGTGTAATCATGGTTTCCTTAAGACAGATTTGCTCCATCTCAATGCTTAAGGTTGGTAAGCAACTGTCTCCTAAAATAGAATGAATTTCGTTCTTAAAGATGTAACACTTCAATCTCTAAGACTTTAACGAACACAAATTTTATGTTTATATTTGAACCGCACTTGAAATAATAATGCAACAATATTGTGAGAGAGAGAGAGAGAGAGAGAAGAAAGACTAAATACTTATTTTAATATTTTGAATAATTGAAAGAATTATAATGAGAGAGCAATTCTTGAATTGTTCACTGGCATGTGTTTGAGAGCGTAAGGAATCACTTATTTTTAGACTTACTAATGACTTTTCATAAAAAGTGTAACCTTATGTAATGATACCTTTTAGTTCAAAAGGTATCAATGATAATTTTATGAAAAGGTACAACTATTTGAAATGGTATTTTTCAGTCCAAAAAGTGTTAATTGTGACTTTATAAAAAAATGTAACTATTTAGATTTATGTCTTCAATTAAAAGTCATCAATTTTTGTCATATTCACTTCGGACCTTGTCAATTGCTCTCAAAAGTCATAAAATTTTTCGCAACATTTTCAATTACTTTCAAAAGTCATAAAAACTTTAACAATTTCTCATTCAATACTTAATAATTTTTTTCAAAAATAAATATATCATTATTTACAACACTTTTTTGTTTGTAATAGGGATGGAAGTACGAGGAATGAATTTTTTTTTTTTTTTTTTTTTTTACTTTTATATAGAGAGAAAAGTAGAATGAAGAAAAAAATACCCATATATATTTTACCATTATATTCGCATATAAAATTAACTTATCCATAATATCTAATAGACTAATACAATATATGTGTATACCAAGGGACTAAACTAATGCTTACACTTTTCATTGTTCAAAAAAATATATTGTTTCGTTCGCTCTTCCTATTTGTCGCCCTCCCACTTTTTCATCAGGGGACCGAGCATCACTACTCTAAGCTTATATATACACCTCGGTGGACATTATACCGGACAGAAAATCAAAGGGGTTAAGTTCTCTTCGTAGCAACTAACCAAAATGGATGCAAAGAAGCCTTATTTGGCTGTAATTCTGATACAGTCCATATACGGAGGCATGTTCTTGCTCTCCAAGGCTGCATTTGATGTTGGTATGAACCCTTTCGTCTTCGTCTTCTACAGACAGGCTGCTGCAACTCTTTTCTTAGCTCCCCTCGCCGTGTTCTTTGAATGGTATTAACTTGCTGATTTAGTTTACATCTTTCTCATCTTCTTCACGACCATGATTGAATATAAATAATTGATTGTTTATTTTGGGGTTTTCAGGAAAACAGCACCGCCGCTCTCATTCAGTTGCTTCTGGAAGATTTTTATGCTTTCTGTTTGTGGGTATGTTCTGCTATAATAAATCCAAGACACTCGATATTTCGTGTGGTTTATAAAATTTGTTGACAAAGAACTTAACTTTGTTCTTTAATTATTTAATTTCAGGATTACTTTGTCATTGAATATTTATGGAGTTGCTCTCATATATACATCTGCAACACTGGCTGCTGCAACTACAAACTGCCTTCCTGTCATTACTTTCTTCCTTGCTGTTTTATTCGGGTAAAAATTTCACTTACTTTTCTTCTTTCACCTTCTTGTTTCGTAAACTTTTGTCCTTCAAAATGATAAATTGGTTTGATTACTTTAACCCTGACATGCTTTTCGGTATAGAATCGAAATTATAAAAAATAAAGCTGAAGTTACAACTCAATCTCGTGTAGGATGCTACAAAATGGAGTTTTCGGGATTGATCAAAACATTTCAAAATGGATTTCAACTTTTTTTTTTTTTTTTTTGTGATAGCTTGACCTCATTGCATTAAAACTTGATCCAATTAATTGTAACTGATGATCCGTATGTCATTAAATAAAAAACAAATGTGGTACTATAGTCATACCCTATGCTAGGATTCTGATGTCCTTGTGATACGTTGTGCATAGAACAGGGGCAGATTGTCTCCTAATGGCATTTTGTTTTCTATGTTTTCGTTCCTCCAAACATATGTGGCCATAAAAAAGATTTTCAGCGCATACTCCCATGCAAGATTTGCATTTCAATGGAAATTTAATTAAACTTTGAAGAAAGCCCTTAATGCATAAGAAAAACATTATCGAATTTTTAAGAGAGAAATTATTTGTGGTTGTGTCTAGACCACATGTCACAAGTACGTATCTTAAAATCAATCTCTCTTAAATATAGGTAAGGCTAGTTAACACATACATCTCCCCTCCTTCAATATAGGTTAGAGTTTTATGTATGAGTATAGCTCTCTAAAACAACATGTTACTGAGTGGTGTCGTCCTTCGGAAATGCATTATACCCCTTAGTGTGTTGTTATGTACGTATATAAAGCTTGCTTTATCACCAAGCTACTATGTCAACAAAAGTGCTTGAGATTCTTCTATCTTGGAGGACAATGGGTCAGTTCTTGGCAAACAATGCAAGGGTGGATGTATCATGTCCGTTTTTTGATCGGGTTTACTCTAACCTTTCTTTCGGGTTTCTTCATTCAATTCTGAATGTTTTCTCTTTTAATATGAGGCAATATTTGTCATCGTAATATTTGATTATTCAATGTAATTGCTATTTGGTTAATATTTTTCAAAACATGTTCTCTCTCTTTTAATAGGTGAAGGAGTTTAAAACAACCACCTCCACATGGTTAGGAGTAATGTTATACTGATTAAAATTAAGGACCAAATAAAGAGTTCAAATGATATGACAGTTGTTGATATGATAAGATTAACTGTCATATCAGCAAAATCTTTTCTTATTCTTCAAATCAATGACAGATGGGGCAAAATTTTTTCATCTTCTCCGCTTTCCTAACACCCACAAACAAAAAAAACAGAGAAAAGAAATGACATGAGAGTTAATCTTGTCATATCAACAACTATCATATCATTTGATTCTTTATTTAGTCCCTAATTTTAATCAGCATAGCGTTATTGCATGGTGAGACAATATGCATATTTAATGTCTAGTCCTTGCTGGGACAAATGCTCCCCAAGAAATAAAAATCAATACCCACAGCTAGAAAGGGAATAATCTATGGATTTGGTTCCTCTCAACTTTAAGAGTCCTCCAATGGAAAGGGAATCCAATTTTAGTCACCCACCACTAAAACATTGGGTTCCACTGAGGCCCACCGTTTGCCCTACGTGATTGAAAACGAAAAAAATGGGAGAAATTTTGAAATTTGAGAGGATCTAGATCCATAATAAAAAAAGCATACTCAATGCTCCTGTTTATTGTAAAGTCTGATGAAGGTAATATTACGGGATAGCCTCACCCTTGTATCAAAAAAACTGATTCCCAGCCTCGAACCCATTACTTATTACTTGGACAATTGAAAAGATAAACATAAATAAGTACAGAATCACAAAAAACATAAATCCTAAGCCAACCTTCTTTTGTACTCAAGTAATATATAGCTATATGAAGAAGTTGTGATTATTTAGGAAAGAGTTCCAAGTAGGAAACTAAGGTTTATCGGAAATACATGTGACCTGATCAGAAATTTGAAATTTTATAAGAAAAAATTTTGAAAGCTACGAAATTATAAATTCATGATAGAGGGCTTCATTATTTTCTAGTTTTCATCTTAGAGTGCTCATCAAAATCATCATTTGGTTTGTGAAAGTGAGATTCATACACATAATTTCACTTTTCATATGACGAACCGGACATTGTTACTTTTTGTTTTGCGTTGGTTTGATGTTTGTCTGCTGATTTAAAATGTTGTACCAATATGACGTGGCATAAACGAGCTCTTGAGATTTCTACTCCTATTCAGGTTGGAAATGGTGAAATTGAGGACAATTCCTGGGCTTGTTAAGCTTACAGGCATAGTAATCTGCCTGTTTGGAGCAGCCACCATTGCCTTGTATAGAGGCCCCTACTTGAAACTCTTGTTGCATCATCACCTCCTTGGACACTACAGCCAACAGCCTGTCTATGTTCCTTCTAGCAAGGCATGGGCAAAGGGTGTCTTCCTGATGCTCCTTTCCAATACCTTTTGGGGTTTGTGGCTTGTATTACAGGTACCGTCTTCATCTGAGCGTATATTTTTTATGCATGTTAATGGGTCAGATTTGTATTTAAATCCAAATTTGGGTATTCGAATATCGATAAAGATTTTGAATTGATTATCCAAATTCGAACTTGAACCCGATTTTCCATTCTTTGCGTATTCAAATTTGAATACATATATATTCGATCCAATTATGATATGATCACACACACACACACACACACACATCTATACTCTGTGTGTGTGTGTGTGAATATATGATTAAACTAAGGGGTTATATGATGAAATTGTGTTAAAATATATGTAACTTCTTAAAATTGAAGTCATTGACTTGTTGAATGCACCATGTTATGTTAGGTATTTGTGAATTTGTACTTTCTGATACCTCAAGAAAAGAAAATATGGTAACCAAAAAAATCAAGATGTGGACTACCTACTAACCTTATCAAACTTTAGGTTTGCCATAGTTAGTAATTCAACTGATTTCGACATTGATTCAGGGTCGAGTTCTAAAAAGCTACCCTTCGAAGCTTCTCTCCACAACTCTGCAGTGCTTTTTAAGTACCATTCAGTCATTTGTTATCGCCATTTCTTTAGAAAGAGACCCCTATCAATGGAAGCTTGGATGGAATGTCAGACTCTTCTCCGTAGCCTACTGTGTAAGCTAAAAACAAGGCTTCTGCAATTTCTTCTCTTCCCTCATCTACACAGCATTCTTTGTTTAATGCACTGTATTAAACTGTTAGGCTCTTTAACCATTTATGTGGCAAGTAATGCGATGCTTACCAATGAATCATGTTAATTTTTTTAATGAGACTCACTAATCCAATCATACACAATCATTTGGTAAACTTTTTAGTAAAAGTTTTTTTTGTTAGGCATAGCATTTTCCTTTTATAGTTCACCATATGAATTCCACACCCCTTACTCATATCTAGTTATTGACTAGGTACTAATCAGTCATTATTAACACATCATATGTAGATTGGTGGATTTCTCATAGTTGGTGTCACTGCAATTAAGTTGTTCATAATCACTTTTAATTAACATGCATATTTATGGTGTGAAAATAATGCGATACATAAAAATGCTATGGCCTGGGTGGGGGGGGGGGGGGGGGAGGAGAGAGAATTTTGACTAAAATACTCGTTTAATCTGTTTATCACTTTCAATCGATATGCATATATATGATATGGAAATGAATGAGCTACTGAATTATTGCTTAATCGATATATAAAAATGATATTGTTGGGCGAAGAAAATTAACTAGTATACCCAGTAAATAATTACTTTCAATTGATACGCACATGAATGAGCCACTAAATTGTAGATTAATTCGATATATAAACATGATTTGGCAAGGGGTGAACATTAACTGCAATTCCCACTAAAGTTGTTCATAATCACTATTAATCGACTTGCATACGCATGATATGAAAATGAATGTGCTATCGAATCGTGATTAATGCTATATGTAACAATATTATGGCCTGGTGGGAAATTTTAACTAATAAGCTGTTCGTAATTATTACCAATCGATAGGCATACGTATGATATGAAAATGATTGATATTCTGAACTATCTAGTGTATTCTACTTTGTGTCAATGGAGGACTAAGCCTTAAGTGATTCTCGACAGGGAGTGGTGGTAACTGGTGTTACATTCTACTTACAAGCATGGGTGGTTGAGAAGAAGGGGCCGGTGTTCCTCGCCATGTCAACACCCTTGACCTTGATCTTCACAATCATCTCATCTGCATTACTCTTAGGAGAAATAATCAGTTTAGGAAGGTAATTCACAATGATTTACTACAAAAAAAAAAAACGAATCACCGTTTTTTCTCATCATTTTTTTTCATATGATTGTCTCTTGCTTGTGCTTGTAGTGTTTTTGGAGGAATTTTGTTAGTGGGAGGGCTTTACTGTGTATTGTGGGGAAAGAGTAAAGAACAGCAAATGGATGAAGGGGTTTGTTCAAGAAATGATGCTGAGAAAGAATGTCCAATCTCCAACAAATTAGTATCAACCCAACGTTCATCACCATTCAATGTGTGATGTAATTCTTGTGTTTAAGTGATATCCTCATGACCCTAAATAGTAATAATCATTCCAAACAGATGGGTATTGTATACTTTTATCAAAGAAAAGACAATTGCTAATAGCGTTGTTAAACAATATGAGCAATGTGAGCTTGGTTCGGGCTTAGCTTGATTTTGACTGGCTTAGATATTGCAAATAAATGAGATCTGACTAAATTTTTAAGCTCATTCTGGAAGCAAGCTGAATTTGAGTAACATGTAGTTCAGTTCATATATGCTTGGCTTGGCTCTTATAGATTCATATCTAAAAATAATTCTTTATATGGCCCTTGATAGAGCACAATGAAGAAGATAGATTCATGTAGTTAATTCTAAATAATTGAGATAAAGGCTTTATTGAATAGAGTTGTCTTGGACCAACATCCTCTCAACACAGTCAACCAACCCATATTCGAGAAATGATCAATCTGAAACCTATTTCCAAATAACTTCACATCATATAGATTTATCTGAAATTTATTTTCAAATAACTTCACGTCATATACATTTATCTACTTTTCTCCCCGCTATAGATTTTGAAAATTTTAATGAATTTGATTGTTTTACGACCCACCAAGTTCTATGTTTGGTTTTTAGAAACTTTTACATGAAAAATTAAGCTCGTTTTTTAACTATAGTTCAACTAGATTTTTTGTAAATTCTTACCAAACAGAGCTTGAACAAGAGTCTAAGCTCAAGAATTGATCTCGACTCAAGACGGAGCCTGACTAACCTTAACTGAGTTGGCCCAATTAACATCCCTAAAAACTAGCAAATGAGAAAATTAAATTACAAGTAATGGCCTAAAGAATATCTCATTTTTTAAGGCGAATAAATGTTCTTATGTATCAACAGCTATATAATAAATAAATTTTATAAAATTGTTGCAAAGGTTTTGGCTAATAGGATGAAGAGTATTTTCCCTCGTATTATCTCATAATATCAAAGTGTTTTCGTTCCTAGTCGTTTGATCACTGATAATGTACTTATTGCTTCCGAGTTGAGTCATTACCTTGAGAATAAAAGAACTGGGAAGGGGTTTTTATCAAAAAAAAAAAAAAAATATATATATATATATATATATATATAATAAATAAATAAATAAACCTAGTTCTTATTACACAAAGCAAAACAACGGCTCTGATCTTTTAGATCCGACAGTTTACATTACTATTTATATTTTAATTTTTTAATTACAATAATCTTAACCCAGTTTCTATTTATGACGTGTTCAAACTTCTACCCAGAGAAAAGAGGAGGAATAATATGTTAACTAATTCTTTCAGCTTATTTTCTTGTATGAGCAGGTTTAAACTTATATGTAGCAGCTAAGCACAAAAAAGTTATTGGCTATATCCTCAATAGGTGCAAATCGGGAATGGAAGTCAATCCATTTTTTCGTCTGTATCATATCCCTAGAATAGATGAAAAAAAAAAATCCAAGTTGCTTCATTTTGCTCCTCAACAGGAGGTATACTTGGTAAAAAAAAAAAAAAATTCAAAAATTTGGGAATGGACAATGATCGATTTGGAGACCGGGTTGGTATGTTGAATCAATTATTTTGTTTAAATGAGTTAAAAATGTTGTATAGTGAAAATTGGGATTCAAGCTCAAAGAATTGTTGGGGCTATCAACTCATTGGTTCCCCCAGTAGGTACTGACCAAGGCCCAACCGATTCGATATAGTCCACACAGTTCCTATTGTTGAGGCCTATCAACTCATTGGTTCCCCAATGGTCTCGTAAGTGTTGGATAAGTAGAGATCCTGGATATGGCACTTTTTTTGTGAGTTCACCTAAAATTATCAGTAATCGATGTTATTTGTTGTGAGATTGTTAGTTCACATATTTAGAATTCATACCCGCCTTAAAGTTTAAGTTTATAGGTAGTGAGCCCATTTATAATATCTTATGAAATTTTCACTTCTTTTTTTTTTATTCAATATAAGATTTTCACACATGTAATACCCAATGATTTTCTTCGCTATTTATGAACTAATTACATTGTTTTTGTGTATTGAATACAAAAAGAGAATCCATAGTCATATGGTGAAGCATATTTTCAGTGATTTGCGTTTTCTTCTTTTTGGTGTAGAATGAAATTACATTGCTGAAACTCTAAAACTTCACTGAAAATTAATAATGCTTCAATTCGTGAAGAAACACTTCTCGAAAAGAAGTATTTGCCCCCATCAAATCGACTAAGGTGTAAAAATGGAAAATCCGTAAATCGGTCTTCAAGATACCGTGAAACTTGAACAATCTTGAATACCCTCTGAAAAATGAAATAGCCAAGTAGTAGAATTTTAATTCTGCAGCAATTTAGAAATTCATATGCAAAATAAAATGAACATAATGTTGTGGTCGAAAAGAAGGGAAATATGAAATTAATTGTTTTTGGTGTCTGGGCAGACTCTGTATTTATAAAGTCATTGGTGTCTGTTGGGCAATGGGTGAATTAAAATTTCAAGTAATTTGAATTATTTAGATTTAAATCTCAACCGTTAATCTAACAATTATATCCATTTGTAACGGAAGCACTCGGTCGTTGCACTTGCAAGCATTGGGCTAAGTGCAAAGTGTGTCATCAAAGCACCACATCGCCCCTAGCCTCGCTTCATGCCAAGGGCACACGGTGGGTTGACCCATGATGCATGGTAGAGTTTTTATGCTAAAGTAAATATACTTACTCCACTATTCTATGTATGTCCATCAAACTTTTCTCATTCTTTTGATGTGGGATAGGTGCCAAAAATATCCTTTCACCTTCTCAAAATAAATGAATTTTTTCACAAAACACCCACCCACAATAAAAAGACTTTATTTCTACAATCCTTTAACGGCATATCAATCACATTTAATTTCTGATGGGCATGATTGAAGGAGTTTTATCTGATTAATTACGGGATCTTCAATATTTTTAACAAGGACGGCTTACTATGGTCACACAGAAGTCGAATTAGCCGTGTAATCTGTGAAATCAGAAAAATGGTTGAGATTTTGTTTTACTCTCTCTATGGTGGGCTGCAACCAAACTAGTATTCTTTTTTATGTTTTTTGTTTAGTGATGTCAAGTTAGCTTATGTAAATTTTGACTAATCTCCTATTTATTTTAATTAAAAATATATCATTTATGCTATGATTGAGACATTTATGATAAATAAATCTCTCATTGTATGACCCTAATGGAGTTATCAAGTCTCGAATTTATGTTATCTGTATTTACAGCTCATTATTGTTTCTACCGGGCTACCCTCTATGTTAAGCTAGTATGTTTTTGGAACACTCATCACAGCACCCCCAACCAAAATGACCTAATTAGCCCTTCTTATGGAAAAGAACCCTTGTGAGTAGTGTCGTTCAAGAATAATGTTATTTGAAACTAATTTACTTATGATCTAATATTGTCATAAGATTAATAATAATTCACATCCAATGTTAGGGTTCACTATCAATCAAATAGCAACAAGGGATTAAGCGAGAAATTAGAAAAAAAAAAAATTAGTTTCAAGTAGTATTACGCAATACTAGAATAGTTTTGAAAGTAAGTTTGTATTAAACATAGATTTTTTTTTCCTTTTTGGAAAAGCAAGAGAACATATTTTCAGTAATAGGTTTCTTAAATAACACTACTCAGCATTCGTGACCACTCCAAAACTAGAGTTCTCAATTTTTATAATCCAATGGTGAACCCAAATATGATCAATTATATTTAATAAATTATTTACAAATATACAATAGATGATCCAATAATAAAAAGAAATTGGAGGTATCCAATAAGAAAATCCTAAGCACAATGGTCAAAATAATAACAAGTATAAAACTACTAGAAATTATGATAGGACCATCAGATTAAAGGGTGTAAAATATTGGATTTAGAATAATCGAAAGTTCATATTTACCCAAATAAAAATCACGGGTTAAAGTTCAAGAATCAATTTCCTAAAAAATGAGATAAAACTTCGTTGACTTATCTATATTGGTTCTTATAATAAATAGAAAGGTTTATGCATTAGTAGCAGGTAGAAAAGAAGCGTGACCGTGATATTAAACATTAAAAATCATAAAATTATGATATATATTAGCTAAAGTACATGGCCACCACGTTGTGCAATTACATTTGCAGACACCAATACCTACCCATCAACATATTGTAAGCCCCGGGACCCAAAGTATCATGTCAGCATTAATTGGTCGCTCCGAAACCAACAGTTTTACTCAGATTCCGGATTCTCCCCTTTAAAAATCCATGTGGTTTGGCTCCCCATCATTAGGGCCGGATTTGGCCTGTGGTCCGGACTGTTAATGAATCATGGGCCAGCCCAGTTTGTTTTGTGGGTAAATCATCGGTGTTGTGCTGAAAAAAAAAACAACGAAAAATTGTGAACATGTATCTTTTAAACTATTTAATTGTGAGAAAATACTTTAACTAATATCTTTGTAGATAAATACTTTTGAATTGAAATGTATTGTAATTAGGTACTCATTGAGAGATTTTGATTTATTATAGTAATGATTTCATATTTTAAAGGATTGAATATATTTAAAATTCAAAATTATATTACATGAAATATACCTTAACAATTTTGCCCAGATTTTGAAATTTTTTTTTATATTATTTTTAAAGGTTAAATGGCTCTAGTTCTAAAATCTAACAATAATGTTACTTTATAGTATTACACTGTCATTCATTAAAAGAGATATATATGGATTTCACATTATGTGATGCCGTTTGTCAGTAATTAAAGTATTAATAAATGTGTTACTCTATCATGTATCATTATAATATCATATTATCGGCAATTTGAATTAGAACAAAAGAAAGATCGGTCTTCAATGGTGCTTCAACGTTTGTGTTTTTTTTTTTTTGGTTGAAAATTGAAGGATTTTTGAGTAATTTTTTTTAAAAAAAATTTGCAAACCTATAGTTTGAGGGATATAACAGTTGCTGAATTTAATGGGATTGTTGCATGATTTATGACAGTTTCCTTATCCACTACTTGCGTCATATAATTGTTACCTTGTGATCATTTTTGTCATCCAAAAAAAAAAAAAATACTTATGCACAAAACATTTTGTACTAAATACTTTTTCATAATTAA